GTAAGTTACGACGACATTGAAAGAAAAAAAGGGATTTACGACCATTTTTCACGACCAAATGCAGCATCCTTGTGGTCACATGATTAAAATCCAGACACTCGGCAACTGGCATGTACTTATGACAGTTGCGGTGTCCTGGGGTCAGGCGACCTTCTGACCAGCAAATTCAATGGGGATGTCAGGTTCACTTAACAACTCTGTGACTAGCTTGAAAAAGCGCAGTGATTCACTTAACAACCGTGGCAAGAAGGGTCGTAAAAAAGGGGGAAAAGTTCCCTTAACAAATCTTTCCTTTAGCGACGTAAGTTACTACGTGGGTAAGTTGAAGCCTACCTACAACAGGTAGACCTCGACAGCCTGGCAACCGTTCGGAAGTTACGACGGTGTGACTCGCAACCGGTCCTCGCACTTATGACCGTTGCAGCATTCCTGGAGTCATGTGGTCAAATTTTGGGTGCTTGGCTTGACGGGAGTTATGACCATTGCAACTTTTGGGGTCCTTTGTGACTTTCCCAGCTGGCGTCTGATAAGCAAAGTCAACAGGGAAAGCAGGATTCGCTTAAGGACGGCACAATTCACTAAACAAATGCAGTGATTTGCTTAACAGCCCTGGACAAAAAAAAAAAAAGGTCATAAAATCAGGCAGAAATCCCTTAATGACCATCTTCCTTGGCAAACAAACTTCTGACCCCAATTGTAGTTGTAAGTCAAGGACTACAGCGGTCATAAATCACATTCAAATTTCTGCTCTTTTGCCTTTCGAAAGGAAGAAGGCAATTTCATTGTTTTCTCTCCCAAAGTACCAAGAAAGGAATGTAGAGTGCATGCAAAAGCTTTAAAAATTCACCAACTTCCAAAGGACTTAAAATTTGTTCTCCATACCATTGTTTTATTTCTGTTTTAGCAGGTGCTGCTGGAATTGTATGCCATCATTTTGCATTAGAGAATAATTTGCTTTTAAAAAGAAGTTTCTGAGCGGAAAAATCCAACAAAGGAAGCTAGATAAATTAAGAAATTTTACTTCAACCTGTACTTTTGCCCTCCTTTTCGCTTCCCACACAATGTTAATATAGAGGAGGTGATGGAATAAAGGCACGAAATGTTTTTTAAAAAAATACAAGTAGTCCTTGACTTTCAACCGTCATTGAACCCAGCATTCCTGCTGCTGAGAGAAACATTTGTGAAGTGAATTCGCCCCGTTTTACTACCTTTCTTGGCCCAGCTGTTAAGTGAATCTCTGCAGTTCTTAAGTTAATAGCTCCGCTGTTAAGTGAATCAATGCTGTTCTTGTTAATAGCACTGTTGTTAAGTGAATCACTGCTGTTCTTCACAGCACCGTTGTTAAGTCAATCACTGCTGTTCTTAAGTTAATAGCACCATTGTTCAGTGAATCTCTGCAGTTTTTAAGTTAATAGCACCGTTGTTAAGTGAATCTCTGCAGTTCTTAAGTTAATAGCACCNAATGCTGGCTGGGGAATTCTGGGAGTTGAAGTCCGGAGATCTTCAAGTTGCCAAGGTTGAGAAACACTGGTTTATTGAATTGGTTTGCCCCTCCTTCTCCCTGCAAGGGCAACCACTAGTATTGGGCGCCTGGCTGGCATCTCTCAAACAGTCTTTCTCAACCTTGGGCACTTTGAGATGGGTGGACTTCAACTCCCAGAATTCCCCTAGCCGGCATGTTGAGAAGCACTGATCTAACTCACTCCATCCCTCCCTTCATCCCTCCATCCATCCTTGTTTCTCAAACCTAACAACTTGAAGATCTGCGGACTTCAACTCCCAGAATTCAACTCCCACCCTGGCTAGGAATCTCTGGGAGTTGAAGCCCATACATCTTCGGTGCATCTTCTGAAATCCAAATGGACTCCTGAATAGCACAGAACTTCTCATCTGGGCCATTTTCTTGGACAACAAGATGGAAGCCGGGAACTCTTCTCTGTTTCTGGAATAGTTTCTCACCTCCCGGTCTAACATACATTCCTAGGATCCTAGGATGGTCTCCTAATCAAGTGCTAACCAAGTCCAACTTCGCTTGGCCCTGAGGACCAGTCAGAGCAACTGTATTTTAGACCAGGGGGGTCTCCAAAGTTGGCAACTTTAAGACTTGTGGATTTTAACTCCTCATGCTAGCTGGGGAATTCTGGGAGTTGAAGTCCACCCATCTCAAAGTGCCCAAAGTCCACCTTTGAAGATTCCAAATTGAAAAAGACAGCAGCGAAAACTTAGCTTGGCTGTTTTAAAACCGGAGAAAGAACACAATGAAGAAATTCTGCATTTTCTCCCCCAGTAGCATTATTTTTAAAAAATGTTTTTATTAAACATTTTTTTCCATTTTTTAAAACACAAATATCATCTTTGCAAGACATCCACATCAGTAAGCCTCCATTATACTCTTTTTATCCATACATGTTTACCTTTATATATCTATCTATATCTATGTATCTATCTGTCTGTCTCTTTCTGTTCTATTTTTACACATTTTTCATCAACATATGCTAATTTATACATATTTCTTCTATACATATTACTCTTTCAATGTGTTTATTTCTCTATATCTTATATCATTCTATATGCATATATTCCCCTTATAACTATTATTCTACTCTTTTATATATAATATATCTTACATTTTCCCCTTATTAATTACGCGGTTTTTTGATTGTTTTTTAATTTCTTCATCTTTTTTCCCTTCAATGCTTTTTTATTCTTTCCATCTTTCCTCTAGCCGTTTGTACCATAAATTCCATACTTTCTTTTGTAAGTCTGTCCATTTCCGCGCATTCTAATACTTTTTTAAAACCACATTTTCTTCTGTTGGTGTATTTTTCTTTTTCCAATTTTGTGCGTATATGATTCTTGCTGCAATTATTACATGTAGTATTAAGTATCTAATTTTTTCCCCTCATAATTCCCTGTAATTATCCCTAATAGAAATAGTTCTGGTAGCAATTCTTAAGTGGGATGAAAGAAGCATTTGCTTCTAAATTATCCTTCCAAATTCAGCAAAAAAGCTTCCTCCGTGTTGTGCATATAGAATTGTGCCCAGGGTGAGGGTGCCAATTTGCTTCCCCTTTCGCACAATTCGGTCTGCAGCCGCTGCTTTTCTTTCAATTCAAATGTCCCTCCGATTTGAATCCTGCTCCTGACAGCTTGCAAAAACAAACAAACCAACCCCACAGGTAGTCCTCAACTTATGACCAGAATGGAACCCATGTGGCTAAGTGAGTTTTGCCCCGTTTTACGATTTTTCTTGCCACATTGCTTAAAGGAATCACTGAATAGCAATAGCAGTTAGACTTATATACCGCTTCATAGGGCTTTCAGCCCTCTCTAAGCGGTTTACAGAATCAGCATATNTGAACTGCTGATCTAGCAGTAGCTTGCAGTGCTGCATTTAACCACTGCGCCACCTTGGCTCACCTTGATAGTTTGAAGCAAGATAAACCTGCTTTAGTGAGACTTTTTGCTTTGACATGATGCGCTTCTGCACTTAAGCCCCAGTTACTTCACAAGGTGATCGGTGAAGTACATCTGTCTGATGTTTAGAAGCAGGTTCAATTCAGTTTTGCTTTATAATTTAGTACCAACGTCTCAGGTGCCTTTAGAAGATAAATTTAGTTACATCTCTCTCAACTATGTGTTAAATTTCAATGATTTGCATTGTCATTTGTATTTTGATTGGTGTTTTGCTTTTAAGATGCATAGTTCCATTTCAGCATTAAGTAACTAAGCGTTCACAGTAAATATGATTAAATTTAAATTTTCAATACATTTGTAACAACCAATTTCCAACCAAGTAATATTATTTTGAGAGCCAGTTTAGGGTAGAGTTTGAGGCATCATGCTAGAAATAAGGAGACTGTAAGCTAGTCCCACCTTGAACACAAAGCCATGTAGGTAATTTTGGGCCAGGCATTTTCTCTCAGCCCTAGGAAGGAGGCAATGGCAAATCACTTCTGAAAACCCTTGCCAAGAAAACATTAAAGTTACTCTTTCATACACAAGGGATTTCCTTCACTCCTTCCCTTTATAATACTAGTATCTTCCCACCATTATATCCCATACAGAATATAAACAAACCTCTATACGCTGCTGATCATACCCACATGTTCTGAGATACTTTATAAAACATCAGCACTTGCTCTTTTTCGATTTCTCTTTTCAGCATCAACATTTGTACTTCTTTATATCCAGCCAGCCGCATAGCAGAATGTCACACCTGTCTGTTAATGGAACTTTTGCTTCTGTTTGATCATAATAGGTTAGCGTTGATGTGCCAGTTTCCATGGAAACAAAAGAAAACCAAGAATGTTAAGTAGATATTCCAAAGTAATCCCTGTTGGGTATCCACTAGGAGTGGTCCATGTATGGCTTGCTTACAGCCATAGGGCTTGTGAGTATTAATGTATCTGGGGATACACCACATCCAGAGTCATTGTATGAGGGATATGGGCAGTTTCTAAATCTGATAAATTATATATATATATATATATACCTCTTAGCATCTGGCTAGCTGATCCCATTTTGATAATATTTTAAAACAATTGTTTTCTTACAAAAATGACTGCATTTATTCTCAACAATATTTTTTCCTGTTTCTTGAATAACTTAGATAATGTTTTTTTTTTTTAAAAAAAAAAGGCTAGTAACAACTTCATTATTTTGGAAGTACTAAATGGTGGAAGGTTTAATCCTGTGTCAGTTTAACACCCTTTAGAATTGATAAGATTCTTGGGAAAGGATTACAATTAATGTTGTGTTTAAAACGCGGGGGTGGGGAGAGGAATTATACCTTTATCCTTTATCCTTTTCTTTTTTATATATTCAGTTCTGGTTTTTTTTTTTTCATGTTTCTTACTTTCTGTTTATTAAAGCAATTTTTTAAAAAAGAAATTGAGATGTTTGCAGCTTGCAATCACCACCACCATCAAGCAGCTGCAGCAGCATTTCAAACAAATGTCACAGATAATGTTATATATGGTTGGATTCTTGTTTGCAGAGTTCGGTTCTTTCCTACATCTTTTTTGTTACCATGCTACGCAGCATAATCAGCAAACAGAGATTGACGTTTGCTGGTTATCTCTGCAGCAGAGGTGGGTTCCTACCAGTTCGC